GAATTCTTTTCTTTTGGATCAAAAATTGATTGGTCCTCTTCCCCATGATTCTTTTTACATTGGAGGTACATCACTGTGTAAGCCATGTATATAAACATCCTTTTCACCAAACAAATGGAATGTATCACAACAATTCCAACAATAATCTGCACCGCTGCCTTTTGTTTACCCACCAATTCGCAGCTCAGGGACAAAACCGAAGACAATATCACCATCCCAAGATTCAGAGCAAACCCTGGAACCTGCATGCCCCTAACAATATTTGCAGCCTTCCCAAGTGCCTCGATCCCAGACTTCTCTTCAAGCACCGAGGCCACAAATGATAGTTCCCAAACAACAGTTATGTAAGCATAGATGATCACAAATGAAACTGCTAGGATTATAGACAAAGCTTTTGAAATAATGAATCCGAAAATTAGCGGCAGAGGTATCAGAATTATAAAGCAAAGAAAAACGTAGCCAAAATCAAGGAGAGTTATATAAAAATAAGTAACTAATGGCCTTCTCCATAATTTTACAGTTGTTGATGCCAAAGCCTTGATGGATAACTTTTTGCCACTGAGAGTCATAGCGGCCGCATAGGTGGTGGCTATGGCAAAAAAGAAGGATGCAGTGGAGCTTATGAGGATGTAGATCAGTAATGCCCCGAGTAAGATCCTGACATCCTTGTATTCACCGCTGATAAGCTTGGAAATTTCTGGAGTTCCAGGGATTGTAAGGCCCAGGAAGAATAGCTCGACTACCAAGTCAAAAATCAAAGGTTTGATGGAGAAGAAATAATAGGAGATATCAAGGATGGAGTGGAAGGAGATGATGAGAAGGGTGATGAGAGCCATGAGCTTCCCATTTTTGAGGAAGATCTTGTACGTGTCTGTTAGGATGTGCACAAAATCAAGACACAGATGCAGGAGAGATTTCATTGCATACAGAGAAGAAAAATTGTGTTCTGTTTGTGATTTGCATAAGCAATGTGTAAATATATACTGCTACGTACGAGTAATGGATTACTACAAACAAAAGAAAAGAAAAAAACGCATATTTCCCAATTTTGACGGCCGAACCCAAGGTCTCGCCCCATATAAGGGGTAGGGGCAGAACCGTCTATAAAAAAAGGTAAAGATAAATTACTCATTTAAATAATTGATCAAAATGAAGGAAATGTCA